GTGATATTGTTAGTTTGGTAAACAGTTTGCAAAAGGGAAATCTGAGCCTATTTTATATGCTGAATGTATATAAGCATATTACTGCTAAGTACCTCTTGTTTGCTGTATTTTGTCCTGCTGAGCAGCCGAGCTCTCTTATACCTCACATGATCACGATGATACAAACAAATGCAGAGTTATGTAAGGCATTGGGTGAAAGTGTTTAGTATCATTCCACGTCCTGTTAACTGTACCTCTCACAGTCTATTACTGAGGTACTAATTGCATGTCATTTCAAAGTTAGTTATTTTGGGGGTAGGGGTACTGATCTCCCTATCAAAATATCCTATGATAAATTATTGCAAATCTGTTAACCCAATAGACTGGCAGTACTCAGTTTTCACCACTAGATGCCATGTATGTCCAAATTCCAATGGGCTGCAGCGAAGATGGCTCACTGAAACATTTAACATCTATTGCCATGTTTTGATTGAGATTTTCTCATCTGATTCTCCCATATCAAAATTTTAGGGAGTTTCTCCTGGGGTCCTAGCCATCAAACCTTCAATAAAATTGTTCGCTCGCTCTATTGCTGTTTGTGGCACAAATTGGCTGCTCCACTTGCCTACAAAATACACAGTGGCACGCCACTTAACAGCATATCTTGTGAAACGCTTTGAAACCTCTCGATGTGACAAGGCGCTGTAACAAATGCAAGGATTGAGATTCAGATCCCTCAAGTTGGCGTGGCGTCCTTCAGTTTAACAGAAAGAAATACTATTCGTACCTCTTAATTAAGAAGCCATTAGGAAATACCATAAAATGATTGTCTCGCAATCTGCCATGAAGGTAATGATCAATTTTATCTGTGGGATTGTTGGTAAGTACACTTGGGAGAAACTCACTTCTTTTCGAATAGTGCGGTGATATATTTAACTTGAACAGGCAGATGGGATCTCAGTTTAACATCTCATCCAAAGGACAACTCCTCCAACAAAGCAGTCCTTCCTCAGCACTGCATTGGAATGTTAGGCTAAACTATATGAGTTCTAAGTTTCAATGTGAAACCACAACCTTTTGACTCGGAGGCAAGAGTACTACCAACTGAGACAGGCTGACACCAGGAGAGACTCTATGAGTCAATACCCCACTCCTATGCTGTAAATGTTATTATTTTATAACCTGCTGTGGATTTCCACTATTTTTTGCTTCAAAAATCCTGGTTAGATTCCTAACATTTTTGAGATAATTAGTTTCTCAGTTTGCTCTCTTGCTACTAGACAAAAACTAAGATTATTGCCAAAATTAGAGATAATTTACTTATCAGTCAGCCAATGTCTCCGTGCATTTATGGATTCTTATTACCATTACCTTAGAATTATGTTAATTTCACAAATATCTTCAGGACACTTACTGAAGTGTAAAAGGCAATTTGTAGTCAGACCCTGAATACACACTAAGTAACAGCCATCCTGCAGATGGTTTTCGATACCACAAAATTTTAATGTTTTTTCTTCATTTAACTGTGAATTGACAGTGCTAAAGTATAAAAAAGAATATTGTTCTAGGACATTAACAGTGAATTGTTTTGATGTTCAGCCGGGTATACATATAATTGTTTGCTACAAGCGAAATAGCATCACTATGCTTAAGAAGGGTATCCAAACCAAACTATAGTTCAACTACCTTGTTAAATATGGATTGGATCCAAAAAATCGGACCCATTATTCTAACTTGCTGTGTTATGAAATAGCTGACAGTCAGTGCTTCCATGATGTCAGACCGCCTCTGATATCGCTAAACTGTGCTGCAGGTGGCCAGTAGCAACAGCAGTTGTTGGAATGGGGGTGACACAGAGAGGGTTTCTGTGCTTGTGCTCAGGAAGTTGTCCAGTTAATACCAGAAGTGTACCATGCATCTGGTATACTAAAGGTCCTGGGTTGATGGCAGAGTAGATGGGGAGAAATTATTTTGATTGCTAAGTGAGTCATAAAATCATAGAATCGTAGAATGATGAAGGAGGACAGGTGGTGGAGGAGGATGGCGCGATCGACTGTGTCGAACGTGGAGGAGAGGTCCAGGAGGACAAGGAGGCAGAGGGAGCCCTGGTCACAGATAGAGAGGATATTGTTTGTGACTTTCACGAGCACTGTCTCTGTACTGTGGGCAGGGCGGAAACTGGCCTGGAGGGGTTTGAGTAGGGTGTGGAGGGAGAGGTGTGCGCGAAGTTGGTTGGCAACAATGCATTCCAGACTGAAGCTATTCCATATCTGTGCAAACTGAAGCTATTCGTAAATTATAATAAAGAGATGGATTAGCATCTCCTCTATGGGGTTTAAAAAAAACCTTCTGTGTATTCTCCTGTGTTTCTGGCTTGTTAGTGACTCACTCTTTTCTTTTTCTAACATTTACTAGTTTGTTTTGCTTGAGTCATGTAATTGCTGGGATGACTTGAGGATCATTGTCCTGATCTATAAATCAGATTTACAGATTAACAGTTGTCCTTTCGTATTGGTAGAATCTCCACAAACCATATTCTCCTGCCAATACCCTTCGTCTCCCAATTCTAGTTTATTGCTTGTTTTTAATATAATCCTTGCAATTGAGCTAAACCTTTCACAGTGGGGGCGAAGTCTTAAAGTACGTCACAGAATTTACAGCCAACTATGGTGACTGTGTATTTTTGTGTGAATGTTGCAGCCAATTTGCACATAGCAATGACCCACAATGAGCCATTAAGTGAATGAACATTTTATTATCTGGAGAATTGTTGGCCAGGACATTGGGAGAAATTCTTTGTACATAGTGCCATGGGTTCTTTAATATCTGCCTGAACAGGCAGATGGGAACTCTTTTTATATATCTCATCCAAAGGATGGCACTTCTGACAATGTAGTGCGCCCCCAATGCTGCATTATAGTGTCGGTCTAGACTGTGAGGATACATATCTGGCAATGCATTGTGTTAGAATTTACACTTTTTGTGTAATGTTAGAATCATAATAGATGTTGGGAACAGATTAACTTTTAAGTTAAGTGTGTTGTGGGCAACTGGACTGAAACTCATGAGTTTACACCCAGGATCACGTGAGTGTCTCAAGGACAAGATGTGTCCTACTGTCCTGCACGTACACGAGATAACGGACTGTCTCAAGGACAGTGTGTTTGTGTGTGTGAGGCACGTACACTCCATGAGATGTTCACTTGAACCCAGCATGATTTTGGCCAGGTGACCTAACGTCCGCACCATGATTGGATGGACACAAGCTTAAGACACCGTGCCAGACCAAGATCTCGCGCCCAGGACAGTACCTACCGTGGATGGAAGACTGAGAGGTAGAAGGCAGAAGTAGACGACCACGAGGAGGGATTACGCGGTACTATTGTTCTGTTAGTGAATCTATTGATTGTGCTTACTTGCCCACACCCATCGGGAACTTGGACGGATCCTGGAGTTTAATAAACACTACTCTGGTTGCAAACAGTGGTTGTGTTTGATTGGAACTCAAAAAGAAGATTTTATTTTCTAACAATTACTCTCTCTCCCCTCCCTCCCTCCATCTCAGTATTGCGCTGGAGCTCAAGCTCCTTAAGTTGGGTTTGAAGTCTGGTTTTAACTTTCACCTTTGATTCAATGGGTTGTGGTTCAAGCCATATATCAGTATGTTGAGAGCATTGTCTTAGGCTGACAGTCTTATGCAGTGCTGAACGAGCCGTCCTTTGGATGAGGTGCTGCCTGTTCAGGAGGATGTTAAAGTTTTACTTGAAAATTTGAAAACAGAAGGGAGTTTCTCTCAGTGTCCTGATGAACACTCCCTCAGAGAAAACAAATTGGTCATTAATTTCTTGGCAGTTTGTGGGTCATTGCTGTGCACAAATTGGCTGCCATGTTCACTTACAAGTGTACAGTCTCTACACTTTACAGAAATCTCTGTGAAGTGTTTTGAAGCATTTTGACACGATAAGGTGCTTTATCATATATAAGGATGATTGTGATTATTATTACAATGCTATGCACTGAATTAATGACGTGTTGAAATATGTAGCAATGCTGAATAAGATACTGTAAAGATGTCACATGATTAAATGATCCATTCCATAAAACACTTCCATATTTCAAGGTATTTTTTAATAGTTGTTTCATAGCTGTTATGGATAGTATTGAAATCTATTGGGCACTTTATAAAGAAATAATTACCATTCTGTCCATTATGTACCACACAATAATTGTTGTATATTTTACTGAAACTGTAGAAATCATGGAGTCAATGACATAACCGATCCAGAGTCGTGTGACTGGTTGGATTGAGATATGGCATTTAAAGACGTTACAATTTATAAATTCAACGTGCTGAAGAAAAGCAGAAGCATATTTTATTAGTTCTCTAATAATGCATTTAAAGGCCAAAAAAAAAAACACTTAAACATCAACCAACAATACTCTATCTACTGATCCATATGGAACTATTGTCAACAATGATTTTACTACTTGAATCTAAACAATAGATAAGAGTTGAGCAAAATATTGGGCTATGTTTCACCACCCAGGTGCTGGTTTACCATCTTAGTTCTCCTACCCTACAGCTCAACTGTTGAATTTTACTGTTGTAATTCTCAACCAGCTTCAAAATTCAAATCGGTACCAATTTAACCTCTAATCCGTTATTTTTATGCAGCAACAATAAACCAAAAGTAAAATTCATACTCTACTGAAATACTCTGCACAACTACATTTTGGTAGTTGAATCTCAGGTTATTGCAGAGAAATGTATTACTTTCAGTTGTTCAAAACTTCCTGTGCCTATTAGACTAAATATTATTTTCCATGTGATAACATTTCCTAGTGCTGACATGCAAACATTTCTACTCCATCAATGATTTTGCAGCACATTTCTAATCCAACTATCTAGAAAGTCGTACTGAGTAACGGTCAGTGCAATTGCAATAGGTAAAAGCCCACAAATTATACAGTCAATTCGCTCTACAGTATATTCTATGAAGCGTTTTGAGATAATAAACGCAATGACATAATAAGGCGCTGTTTAAATGCTAGGATTATTATTATTGTTTGTAGTACAGCTGCATTCATAACCACCATTGAATCCTTTGTGTTGCTCTCACAAATCCTTTCCACACTGAGAGCAAAGGATGTCGTCTCTCTCTGTGAGGAAACCACGGCCCACCAGTGATATGGAGCATTTCTTGCAGTTGAAACAATCATTGTGCCACTGCCGCTCTTCAAATGAGATGTACTTGGTCCCTCCAAGGCCTAGAGTAAAAAAATGAATATTTTTTTTCAAAATCTGCTGCTTTATTGAATTGAATCTGCCATCTACTTGCCCACTCTGTTAGCATAATAATAATAATAAAGAATCTCATGAGAAATTGCGACATTTTAAACCAACTATTTCAATAAATAACTTTATCCAATCGTAATAAATAAACTATACATTGTATATTTGTTGAGGCAGCTATGAATTGCACAGCAAAGGACTATTTTATATAGTTAATTTTACTAGCAGATGCGAATGAAGTACAATTAATATGCAAGTTTAATAAATGCAAATAACATTCAATCATGGTACTTTGAAAATATATGAATTTGATATAATTTGCAAATGCAAAATAATTGAATACAATTTTGAGCCCATTTATAATTAAAATTCTCCAATTACAGATGTCAGAGAAAATGTTATAATTATAATATTTTAATGGCATAACAATAGCCTGGAATCTCTAATGCCGAAGTTCACCGTCTTAAAATTTTGTCTTAAAATTTAAGACAAAATGCAAAATTGTGGAAAATTCTTGAATTCAGTCTAATGTTGGAATCAGCTTTTTCACAGTTCTTTTAGAAACAAATTAAGCCTTAAATTAAGATTTTTCCAAATTCTGCACAATCTTAAAGTTTAAGACAAAATGGTCTTATGGGCTAAGACTAGGTGGAATTTCAGGGCATGGGTTTCTCATTGAACCTTCTTATACAACACCTCGTACGTGTTGATGCCTTTAAACATGGCTTTGGAAGCATAAAACAGAACACATGAACTAAGCAATGAGGTTTTGAATTTGAACAAGAAGTCAAATCTCACTGACCAACTGTGACAATCTCTTCCCCCCCTGTCATTCTATCTGAGAAACCTACCACTGATCGGATTAGAACAACCAGCACATTTTTTGGCATAGAGGCTGCAGAAGCAATCCAGGCAATATGGAAACTCATCTCGGGAGGTAAATCGCTGACCGGCCAATGGATTTTTGCATCCTGTGCAGAGGAAACACTCCTTGTGCCAGGGTTGATCACGATAGGTAACTCCTCCAGTAGTAATGGCCTGGTAGATAAGAAGAAAATATAGATAACCACTATTGTACTTAGTTCATCCGTCATTGCTACATCCAGCCTTCAGATGGAGACGTTAAACCAAGGTCGTGTCTGCCTGTTCAGATGGATGTTAAAGATCCTATAGCAGTATTCAGAAAGAGAAGGGAGTTTCTCCCAGTGCGTTGACCAACAATCACCCAAATTAAATTGGTCATTCATTTAAAGGCACTATACAAATGTCCAGTGCCTTGGGAGGTCCTCCCGATGTGAAAGGCGCTCTATAAATGGAATCGTGTTGTTGTTGTAATTGTGTTGTTTTTCTTGTTGTTATGACTGTTTGTGGACATTCCTATGGGCAAATTGACTGCCATGTTCACTCACAAAATACACAATGACCACACTTTGCATTATATCTTGTGTAGTGGGATGTCCTCTTGATATGAAAGGCACTATACCAAATGCAAGGATTATTACTATTATGATAATAATACTAAAGTCAAAGTTCAGTTGAAAGATTAGTACATGGGGATCGGTGAGGTATTTTAGCAAAAGAGTGTTGACAATTGTTATATGATAGACATTACTTTTGAATTTATTTTCGAAGTTCTTTTAGTAATGCAGAAACAGAATGAATATAGATTATTTTTTGACATTAGAATACTTTCAGATAACTCAAGGCATTAGGATTAAAGCTCACAGGTTCAGGGATACAAAGGGCAATTTTGAGACAGTCACCATAAAGTATTTCTTTACACAGAGGGTAATTAACAGCTGGACTGCATTGCCTAGTGGAAAAGGAAGGCTGAAATGGCAAGTCTCCGCAATCTTGCATGAAATTTCAATGAAGATAATGTAGACATTTACAAATAAATATTTTCAAATTCAGAAAGAGTAGTTTGGAAAAAAAAGTAATTTTCCTAAACATTTTTCCCTTTAATGTGATTAAAGTAGCTGGAGATCATCTGTAATAACAGGCAAGCAATTGAGCTGCTACAATTGGCCTTAGTGCAAAAAAGACGAAAATCAGCCAACATTATAACTCCCATTGCCACCCAAACTGTAAAAGTGTAGTCATTGGGTCCTATGTCATCCTGTGAAGTGCTTTGAGATGTCCTCCTGATGTGGCAGGCAATATATCTATTACACTATTATTATTAATAATTATAAATAATAAATACTCTGCTGCCACTCTGTCAGGCTCTCACATCAATAATGGCCAGTTTGGTATCAGATAGAGCCTTGGGAAAGGTATTCCCAGTAGAAGAAAAAAGAAAAGAGGAGTGGAGAAAACTAGAGGAGAAACACAGAATTTTCCTGATCTGCCAATCACATTACATTCCTGAGATCAATCCCGTTCAAACTGTTAAATATATAACAAATGAATACCACATGGAGCACAGCATACAGTAGACTTACCCAGGAACCCTCACATCTAAAATGAGACTCACCTTTTTGCATTGAACGCAGTGCATGGCAAACTGCTTTTCGTAGCAAGGCACGCAGTAATTTTCATTTTCTTTTGGGATGAAGCTTTTTGTGCCCATTGGCTGTTGGCAGCGGTGACAAATGAAACAAGTCTCATGCCAGCTACTTCCTTTATGTTCCATCTTTCGAGTTCCTACATTTTAGTAAAAGAAGTTGGGGAAAGTAGAAATGAAAGTGGCATCTCTTCTATTTAATAATCCTTGCATTTGATATAGCGCTTTTCACGTCGGGAGGACGTCCCAAAGCGCTTCACAGAACACACTGTAAAGTGAATTGACTGTATATCTGTGGGTGAACGCGGCAGCCAATTGCGCACAGCAATGTCCCACAAACAGTCGTAGATTGAAAATGACCAATTTATTATTGTTTTTGGTTTTGGAGGGATTATTATTAGGCTCTGTGTGGAGTAAGGAAACTTGCCCAAGGTTTCGCCCTGTCTGGAAATGAACCCAGGTCTCTCACTTACAAAGCGAGTGCTCTAACCACTGAGCTACAGGACTCCACAATGGTATTTCTACCATTGAATTGAAAAACTAAAGACCATCTTTTCTGAATCATTAATGTCCAATCATCCATTCACATGTCTCATTTTGGTTCACTTGGAAACACTCTTGCTTCTGGGTTATAAGGTTACTTGTTGAAGTCCTGCACCAGGACTTGAGTTTGCAATCTAGGCGACTACTCCAGTGCAGTACAGCAGTGCTCGAACCTTCAGATAAGACTAAACTGGCTCTTTCTGGTGAGTCAGGTGGATAATAATAATCTTTGCATTTGACGTAGCGTTTTTCAGGTCAGGAGGACGTCTCAAAGCACTTCACAGGATTTATTGTAAAGTATAGTGACTGGATTTTAAATATCCTATGATATCTTCCAAAGAAAAGCAGGATTTTTTCCCGATGTCCTACCCACGATTGCTCCAAATTCACAAAAACACAGATTGGTCATTTATCTGATTGCTGTTTGTGGCAGGTAGATTACCCACTGTATTTGTTTACTTAAAAACAATCGCTGGACTTTTGAGTAACTTATTATGTGAAGGGCTTAAGATGTTTTGATACTATTTCAAATGGAAGAATTGTTAGTTAAGAATTTTAATTTGCAGCAAACTAAACCTGTTAATCATCCTCTCAACAAACCATTGTACGTTAAATAATAATAATCCTTGCATTTGATGCAGTGCTTTTCACATTTTCTAAACGTCTGTTGACAATTGAAGCTGAAACAAGTTGATGACCTGTAATGCAATACAATTATAATTCCATTTATGAGATTATGTTTTCCCAAAGTATCAGCCAAAGACGGATACCCACAAAGAATAGTGAATCTTCTGTTATCCATTATCCCTTAAAATGTTCCCAAAAGAGATCAATTTTGTAACGTGCGGTTTGTGGACTGATGCTAGAGATGTCTGCTCTTTGCCTCTGGGCTGATACATTACTGAAATCAATCCTCTTCAAACAGTTAAATATGTAACAAATGGATACCATGTGGAGCACACTTTTCACAACTTTGTTCAGTTGCTATGCATTTGTGTGTGTGTATGAGAGAGAGAGAAAAAGAGAAAGGAAGAAAAAATATTAATAGATGACAAGATGCAATACAGTATTTCATAACAGATTCTGTAACACAAAAAGTTTATTGAGCATCACTTTTATCACCCTATACTTTCTACTTTTTAAAAAATATTAAGTAATACAGTAATTGCAAACTGTTTTGTTAAGTACAGGATTGTTGAACGGAACAAAAGCAGCACAAAATGGATGAGGAAAATAGAGCCTTGACTTACTCAGTTCAGGTGCTGAACTTGAATAGACACAACACACTCTAAACCCAGATAAAAGGGGGAAAAAAAGGTACTGTAATAACATCTAGTGGTTGTAGATAAAACATTTACAGTTCTTTATCTCATACTGAATTAAGGCTAGCTCAACACAATAAGGATCCAAAGTTCTACCAAATTCTTGAAAAAACGATAAGGCTTATAAATTGAATTGAAGAAATTTCCACAATTCTGCAGAATCTTACATTTTAAGACAAAATGCTCTTACGGGTTTAAACTGGGTGGAATTTCAGGCCAACAGCTTGTTAAAAATTGTTTGTTGTCATGATTCATAAGACAGGGTTTAATTGTTGCTGGATCTTCCTTGTAGTGACGTGTTTCCCAATCAATTCCATACATATTTAATGTAAGTATGCATATTTGATTGTGTGTTTGTTATTTAAATAAACGTTTTATTTGAAAAATGAAGGAATGCTGGCTCTTTTAATGTGCTTAAAATGTTAATGGCTTCACTGGGGCCCCAAACCCCAGAGGATCGAATTCAAGATCCTTGTCCTCACCTTTAAAGCCCTCCACGGTCTTGCTCCTCTGTGCAACTTATTAAAACTTCACCAACCTGTTCACTCCCTCCACTCTGCAGGCACTGGCTTGTTCCACGTCCCCCATCTCTAGGACCTTCCTTTACGACCATGCTTTCGATCATCTTCCCTCCCCCACCCCACTTGCGTTCCATCTCTCTCTAATACCAACCCACAGCACGGGTGCAAATCCTTCATTGTCCAGTGCCTTGGAATGCCCACCCGACATGAAAGGTGCTACATAAATGCAATTTGTTGTTTGTTGTTGTTGTTGCCATAATATGAGGAGTTCATGATACATTCTGGAAACTATTGAAGGCATATTGGAAAATTAGCAGTGGGAAAAAGGTCTCTGGTTATATTTACAATAATCAAAATGTCAATGTTAAATATGGGGGTCTAAAACACAATATTCATTACTTGACTTCTCTCATAGTGGAAGCAGTAACTGGAAGTGTGTCACAGCAACTCATGGCAAGTCTGTGTTCTTTTTTATCTGAGTAGAAGTGGAATTCTCCTGGGTCAGCGAGATTCACTTCTGGTTATTGTCAAGTTGTTAGAAAATCCAGCTTTTTTTTTTCATTTTCTCTCTTTTTCTTTCTCTCTCACATGTAATGATAGGAACTCAACAAACCAAGTTCAACAACACATTGAGCAACAACACAAATGAGCCGAAGGGCCTATTTAAATACAAACTTCTCTTGTGATCTCTTGTCATCCGCAGACACAGGTTAAACTTCCACATGTATGCGGATGACACATAAATCTACTTTGCCTCCTCCAGCATCAAGTCGAGGTCAGCTTGTCTGGAAGACATCAGGGCCTGGATGAGTGCAAACTTCCTGCAGCTGAATATGGAATATAAGCCATACCTCTCCGACCTCCTCACTCCCCAATCCACCACTCAAATCCACCACCCAGCATCTCTGCTTGACTGGCACCAGCCTCCTATTTGTCCCTCACACCCTCCGCTCCACCATTGGAGATTGCGCTTTCAGCAACTACGCCTCGAAACTGTGGAACATTCTGCCTCAATCCCTCTGTCCTTCCCCCTTTTTCAATTCCCACCTGAAAAACCTTCCTTTTCAACCGTGCTTACAGTCACCTCCCCACACCGACGCAGAGTCAGGCTCCACTACTATTAAGCATTCTGAGACCCTACCCTGCATGGAGGGCACTATATAAGTGCAAGTTGTTGTTGATTTTGTGACATTCCGGTGTAGTATTTGGTGGAGTGTTATTATTTTTGGTGCTTGAAAGTTGCATCTTAAAGTCATATCAAAGGTTAAAACAAAGCTCTCTTCAGGCAGATCCACCTGCTCACCCAGATGTTCAAAGGATGACCGCTATAGGTAAAGTTTTATTATTGGTTAGTCTTTTAATGGTATAGCATCTTGCAACTATGAGAATGTTGCTGTTTAATGATTAGGATTTTATTATTGAGTGAATGCATGATGAAGGCAGAACCAGTCAATTTTGATAAATAATATAGGACAGACATAAAGACCATGATAAGGTTAGGAAGTAGAAGACTCTGACATCAATCTAATAAATAGATTCTGTTGATCCCGGTCACTGGATGCATTTTGGAACTTGTAACACCTTGGGATATCCTTCCGACGTGAAAAGCGTTATACAAATGTAATTTGTTGTTGTTGTAATAGTAAAACATTTATCATTTAGGAGTGGAAATTGTGATATTTCTTATTAGATTTGATATGATAATTCTTCCATTAAATCTATTACTGAATGAATTCACCAAACCTATGCAAACCTTGGCTTCCAGTTTGATCCCATCCCTCTCCTTCCTATCCTACATTTGGACTAGGACTAGGATTGCTTTTTTCCACCACCACCACATTGGTCGCCTCTAACCTTATCTCACTCTAAAAGCCAATGAAACCCTCATTCACACCTTTGTCACCCCCTGCCTCAATTTTTCAAATGCACTCTTTACCAGTCCCCCAGTTCCACCAGCCAAAAGGTCCAACTCATTCAAAACTCTGCTGCCCACATCCTCACCCATAACACACTGCACTTCAATCACCCTAAACCCATATCCGCCACCGCCCACATTCTCACCCGCACCAAACGTCGTACCCTGACTACTCAAGTCCTCACCAAACTCCGTTGGCTCCCTGTTACAGAGCAGATCGACTTCAAGATCCTCACTCTAGTGTTTAAGTCCCTCCATTCCTTGACACCCCCCTATCTCTCTAACCTCCTCTCTTCCCACAGCAGTACCTGCCACCTCCGTTCTACTGGGTCCGGCCTCCTCCGTGTCCCCCAAATCCTCCGCTCCACCATCAGTGGCCATGCCTTCAGCCACTACCCCCAAAACTTTGGAACGCCCTCCCTCAACCCCTTCACCTCATCCCCTCCTTCCCCATCTTCAGGTCACTCCTGTAGACCTTCCTTTTCGACCGCGCCTACAATCGCCTTCCCCCTCCCCCTAGCTCGGCCTTGGGCTCCACCATTGTTAAGTGCTCTATGACGACCCCCTGGTGTGGAGAACGCTATATAAATGTAAGTTATTGTTGTAAACCTTGCCAGGCTCCACCAGCACCCCATCAATGTTCTGACAGCAAGTACATTTGATTTAATCAGACATTAGTACATTTACAGTTTATTCTAACCTGGCATTATGGTCTTCTTGCATTCATGGCACTTAGAGGAGTATTCATTGGAATAACAATCAGTGCAGAGCAATTGATCGTCCTTGGCAGCAAAAGGCTTATCCACGAGAGACTGTTTGCACTGGAAGCAGTGAAAGCAGGCTTCATGCCAGTGCCGGTCCTTGTGAGACAAGTCCTGTGGGAATTTAAAAAAGCACAAGCTTAAGCATCTCAAATAACAGTTTAAACATCAGCCAGTTTATATGAGAGTGAACATTCTCTACTGCCTCCCAAAAGGGAGTGGGGAAAAGGGGGAGTATTTGATGTGCTCTGTAGATAACACAGATGGCTCTGGTTTGCATTTTTGTTTGACAATTAAAAGCATGAACTATGCAGAAGTGATCTTATACATATGCACAGGAAGTGCAGCACTAATACATTTTAAATATGGAACTACACTGATCCCTGGAACCCATCCTTGTGGAGAATGGAAGCTGAAACAACCGGAATGCCATCTTCACAAAGAAAAAAACTATCAAGTGATGTTAAAGAACAGAGCATGGGTACAAGTACAATGAACCAGATAACCTCCTCCTGTGCTGTACATTTCTGCAATTCCATTATTTCAGTAATAATATTGGATAACCGTGCTACATTACCTGCACTACCCATTAGGTCTTTTGTTGGCATGGATTCCTATTTTAACTTCAAAGAACAGTACCTTTATAAAGATAACAACTTGTGCATTTCTATATGATTTTATTAGTGATCATCCTGTCGTCAATCATCACCGAATACATAAGCACATAAAAAGTCAACGAACCTGTTAACTATCAACAGATATTTGCCTAGGGTTGTCATGAAAAATGATACATTGAAATGGTACTGGATTAATTTAAGAAGCAGCTTGATGCAGTCATGTAATGAGGAGTAATGGGGTTGGTATTCTGGAAGGATGAGATCAAACAGGCTAAGAGCCTTCTTCATCTAATCCATCTCTTGTAATCTTATAACCATACTCCTTCAGGCCTGTTGCGTTTCAACTGAAACTGGAGAGGGTAAGGAGCATAAACTCTCCTGGTCACAAAACAGCTGAACATTTCTGTTGCCTGGTGTACAATAATACTTATAGAATTCTTATAGAATATAGTAAATAACTCTAAAGCCCTTTATCTTGCATATTTTTTATATTGCTGGTCAACAATCCCTCACATAAGAACAATCATTCACTTCATGGCTGTTTGTTAGACATTGCTATATACAAATTAGCTGTTGCATTTACCTACAATTTATACAGTCAAAAACTATATACTCCTTTAAGGCAAGTTTCAAGATCCTCCTCTTCGACCACCCTCCTACCCTCCTTGCCCTCCACCCTCCCTATCCCAACACCCCAGCTCAGGGCCAAATCCCTGACTGTCCAGTGTCTTGGGACTTCCTCCCAACGTGAAAGGCGCAATACAAATGTAATATTGTATTGTATGTAATGGATAAATTGCACTTACTTACATTAAAACGCTGACACTATGTGCTATGTTAATGTGTACTGTGCAATAGGAAGTTTTTTGTAAAAACTCCACTTCTTGAATGTTTATCTTTGCTGATGTACTGCACGTTTTTATGGAATTTTGGAAACTTCTATCCCATTTTTTATTCTTGCTTACATTAACAAAATCGGGCGATTCTGGCAGGGGTGGAAATGATATTACAATTACATGTTTTCATGCAATCTTTGTCAAATATATTATGGCACTAAGCCATTCATTGCACAAAAGGAACCAAAATATTTTATGGAAATTATAAGCCCAAGCAAATCAAAAACCCCTTTCCCCACAATGAACCAAATGTGGATTTATCGTTTGCTTTGGTATCTTTGATGCTTGGGTCTGTTTACTAAAAAAACATTTACACTTGTTCTCCATGTAGCTCACATAGATCGCCCACAGAAGAACAGTCATGTTGGTATTTTCAGATTCCATGGAAAGATGAGATAGAAATTTCACCTGGTTACAGGTTTACTCTATCAACATACCATTTCATAGAACCAAAAGTTAGCAAATTCTTAAAAAATGGTGTCACTTCTCTACCTCCGCCTTCCTCCACCTCCGCCACATTGCCTGCAACTGTACCTTACCCCAGATGCAGCCGAAACACTCGTGCATGTATTCGTCACTTTCTGACTCAACTTTTCAAACTTTACTTTACTCCACCCAGCTCCACCGTGCACAAGATCCAGCTGATCCAAAACTCCGCCGCCCGCATACTCACCTGCACTAAACTCCGTACCCCCATTATATCAGTCTAGCCAGGCTCCCTATCGCCGAACAAATTGATTTCAAGATCCTCACACTCGTTTTCAAATGCCTTCATGCCCTGACACCTCCATACCTCTCCGACCTGCTTACCCACAACCTACTGCCTCCACTAGACTGACTCCAGCCTTCTGCATCTCCCTCGTGCCCAACATTCCACCATTGGTGGTCGCGCTTTCAGCCATCATGCACCAAAACTTTGGAACACTCTCCCTCAATCCCTCTGCTTTGCCCCCTCTCTCCCGTTTTTCAAGTCCCGCCCGAAAACCTTCCTTTCTTCTATCCCTCAGCCTTGTCCCTTTCTTCCCCATTTTCGGTCATGTCTGAAGACCTTCCTATACGACCGTGCCTACGGTTTATCCCCCTCTGCCCCCGGGTCGGCATCTAAGATGCCGTAGAATTGTTAAAAATTCTGAAATTCAATCTTGATTTGGAAACTGGTTCTTTTTAAGAATTGTAGAAAACTGACTTCCAGATTAAAACTGAATTTACGAATTTTTTGCAATTCTGCACAATCTTAAATTTTGAAAACATACAGTCCCAAAGGCTCAAACTACATGGGATTTCAAGCCTATAGATTCCATACTGAATCTCAAAAAGGTGACATGAAGATGCGTAACTCTGTCTGTCCAGTGCCTTGAGACGTCCTCCTGACGTGAAAGACGCTATACAAATGTAATTTTGTTCTTGTTGTTTCTGCCTGCTTAACTCTGCTCAATGTGCTGAAGCAGTGCAGCTATAGTATTGAATCAATTCCAAGTTTACTCAAATATTGCATGTGAATTTGCAATACATAGTATTTTGGGAAATTACTAAATTAAGCTGGTTTTTCATAAAACAACTGCAGAAAATCCACTTGTGGGTTGACTGCAATGCTACCTGCAGTTAATTCACTGTCAAGATTCACATAAGAATAATGCCCTTTGGGTAAGGTAAACCATGGAACTGCACCCCATTAGAAAGTAGAATGTATCATTAAGACTTCATTTGGATATTTGCCTAGTTCAGTTGGTAGCACTCACATCTTTGAGTCAGAAGGCTTTGGGTTCAAGCCCCACTTCAGGACTTTAAATTCATATAATCTAGGGTTTACACTCTAATTCAGTGTTGTGTTGTTGGAGATGAGAAGTTGAGCTGAGGTCCAATCTGCATGTTCAAATGGCTGATAAAGCCACGGTTCTCTTCAACCGTGCCTTCAGCTCCCCTCTCGACTCTCTACCCCCTCCTCACTCCCTCCCTTCCCTCCCCTCACCCTGAACATTTCCCCCCTGCTCAGGTCCCATCCCAACTGTCCAGCGCCTTGGGATGTCCTCCCGACGTGAAAGGCGCTCTATAAATGCAATCTTGTTGTTGTTGTAAAGTTCCCATGGCAATATTTGAAAGGAAAAGAAAGTTTCTTCTGGTATCCTGGCCAACAATCCCCCTGATGAAATTGTTCATTTGCTTCATGACTGTTTGTGAGGATGGGAATGTGATCAGAAAGACTGAAGGCCCAAATGCCGATGGCGATCGGGCCTTCAACCTTTATGCCCCAACCCTCTGGAACTCCATCCTGGAATCCCTTCACCTTGCTACCTCACTTGCCTCCTTCAAGGCCTTTCTCAAGATCTTCCTCTTTAACCATGCCTTCAGTCATCCTTCCACCCACATCCCCTTTGGCCACTACCCCTCTTCATTCCAACCCCCAGCTCAGATGCAAACTCTTGACTGTCCAGCACCTTGAGATGTCCTCCTGATGTGAAAGGCGCAATATAAATTCAATTTGTTGTTGTTGTGGAACATTACTGTGCGCAAATTAGCAGCTGCATTCACCTACAACATATACAGTCAACGCACATTACAGTGTATCCAGTCAAGTTCTTTTGAGGTGTCCTCCTGACCTGAAATGTGCTATATTAAATGCAATTATTACTATTAATGTAATATTAATCCTTTTTCGGAAGGTGGACCAAGCATTTATAAAATATGAAATTTATTGCATAACTATGATTCTTACATAATGATAATAATAATCCTTGCATTTGATATAATCCCTTATTTTTCTCACATTCTTGAGACATCTCATATTGCTTCACAGGATATACTGCAAAGTGGTTTTGATTGTGTGCTTTGTGGGCAAAACACGGCACCAAGTTTGCACACAGTGATGTCCCACAAATAGCCATGAAGTGAATAACCAATTTTATTAGGGCAAGACTGTTTGTCCACAAATAGCCGTGGATTGAGTGACCAATTTTTTTAAAAAAGTAATTATTACCCCCGGAAAAGTGATCCAACAATCGACTAAGAACCGGGTTCCTACTTCCCGCTAGTTAAACAGAGGCATATGGAGTAAGGAAATTTCCCCAACGTTTTGCCCTGCCAGGAATCAAACCCAGGTCTCTTGCTTGTGAGGCAAGTGCTCTAATCACTGAGCTACAGAACTCCAGGACTTATTTGGGGAATTTGTTGACCATGACACTGGGAGAAACTCCCTTCTCTTTTCGAATGTCGTCATGGGATCTTTAGTGTCATCTGATCAGGTAGATGGGACATTGGTTTAACGTCTCATCCAAAGGATAGCATCTCCAACAATGCTACACAACACCAGCACTGCATTGGAGTGTTACCTTAAACTATGTGATTCCAAGTCCCGATATGAGGCTTGAACACAGAAACCTTTGACTCAGATAGTGCTACCACTGTGCCAGACTCACACACATTACAAGAGTAATGGCTTTTGGGCAAAATATCCATGGAACTGTAACCCATTAGAAAGTAGAGGGTATCATTAACCTTCATTTGGATATCAGCCTAACCTAGTCAGAAGGTCATCATCATTAAACAGCGCCATTATTAAAAGTTGTAGTTTTACAGCAGTAAAAAAAGATATGCTTTGTAATTG